TCACATCATCATCCTATAGTCAGCATTACCAATGTGTTGGTATACTGAAACCCAAAGGGGAAAAAATTACTGTGTTTCCTGTGTGTAACAGGCTTACAAAATATTCGGTAGGCAGGAAGGGCTTTATTTCACTTTACGTTTTCCCCCCAATGATCTACCTTTTTAAATGTTATTTCTATCACAATCATGTATTTAATACAGATATAACATTAAGGGAACTGATCATTACCACCAAGCCGGTTTCCTGTGAGTCTCCTGCGGCATGCGTTTCTTTACCGTACCGGCCGCTGCTTTACCGTACCGGCCGCTGCTTTACCGTACCGGTCGGTTCTTTACCGTACCCGAAGGTCATTAGCCGTACCGGCAAGGCCATTACCGTACTGGCAGGAGGCAATTCACACTTCTGACAAGTTAATTTATGCATTGATATTCCGGTTTACCGGTAAAATGCCGACCTGTTTAAATTTCAGTTTTATGCACAGGATCGCCAGAGAAAGCAAAACTGTAGAATTAATTTGAGTAGAATTTGTTTAGTTTGTAGTTATAGTCTGTTTATAAATCATTTTGTTCATGTTTGCTATGCGGTAGCTTTCAAGGTCAAATACACCACCAGGGCAATTTGTTGCGTCTTTTTATTTGTCAGAGATTAAACTTTACCATTATTATTGCATAATATTTACATTCAAGTTGCGCGCGATAATGCTACACATGATTTTTGTGAGACCATGGAGCTCCCAGTACGTCCATGTGAACTGTTGGATATGACTACAGACGGAACTGCGTCTTTATTTTATACGATATTTTTTTTTTTTAAATTGGGATCAGTGCTCCCAAATCAACTGAGCCGACAAAGTGGATTACAAAAATAACAGTTCCATGAAAGTGGCTATATTTGTGTATGATGAATCCTGAGTCGGTAGTTTGGCATGTAACGTAATGGTTTTGGTTATTGTTACAAATGCACAGTGCAGACGTAATTTTGTTTTCATTTTTTCACTTTATCTGGCGCCAGTGCACGTGTGCTTGGATGTTTTTTTATTCAGTGATTGGGCTAAATATTTGACGACGTTGCCAACGTATTCAACATACGAAAATAGCATGTGTGTGCGTGTGCGCGAATGATAGATGCAGACGAGATTTCTCGTCGCAACGCGTTTTATTAGTTTATTTCCAACGCGAGTGGTCGGCGCCTTTGATTGCGTTTAGTTTGTTCTTTCATTCGCAAAATCTATCGCTGGCACCATTTATTTTGTTATGTCTCACAACTGAATGTCCAAGCTGACTTTGTATTGGCTGTAATTATTTTTTTTTTTTTGTAAAACAAAAAAAAGTCCCGACCTTTCCAGTCTAAAACGTATTCTGCCCCAAACCAAACAGCCCTTTTCAGGGCCAATCACATGTTCCAAAAAGAGATGTACCGGCACACTTGCACACTCTGTTTTGTTATAATAAAGTTACATTGGGGATTGTTGGAAGGGATGTGTAAATATGTTTGGTCAATTCCATAAGCAAAATCACAAAATGAGGTCGAAAAGCAATGGAAAAATGTTGAACTAGAGCAAGGTCAAATTCCGTTTTACGCACTTGAATTTTATCTGGACTACGTGCACGCGTTGCGCGTGTTATTGTCGACAAAGTATCAAAACAGATTTTTGAACGCCCAAGCCCGAATTTAAATACATGTGAGCTCGGCCAAGCGAGTCACGCTGACAGATTATGCAAGTATCATCGAATTCATGCGACAGGTTGAGACGTTTTATTCAACGTTGTGGGTAAGCTACGATTTAGGACTGTCGTTTTATAGCGTTACAGGCGATCATGAATATGTGAATAACACACATATATTGAAAAAAACACATGCGAAGAATTTCAGAAAGACTTTTTTATTTAATTTATTTATTTATTTGTATTTCGACGGTTGCCCGACTTTCTTTCCACTGTGTGAGCTACTGACAAATATAAACAAATAATTAAACCATCGAGTCCTCTAGTCGACTGGGACGTAACACTCTGTTGTACAAGTCCTAAAAAAAAATTCTTATTGTTTGCAAAATGCCCAATTAATTCATGCATGACTCACGGTTACCGGCAGGGCGCCGATCAGTTACCGGGGCTTTGTTTACCACGCATTCATTAATCGAAGGTGATAAATAGTCGGTATTGGTCCCATCAGTACGGTAATTGTCCAGCCGGTACAGTAAAGCACCGGCCGGTACGGTAACGCAACGGTCGGTACGGTAACGCAACGGTCGGTACGGTAACGCAACGGTCGGTACGGTAAAGCAACGACCGGTACGGTAAACCGAGTCAAACTCACAGGAAACCGGCTGGGTGGTAATGATCAGTTCCCTAAGCACGTACCTTCCATGAAATATCTTCTGCAGTTTCACCTAGGATGACATCAACAATTTCAATGATAGGCTGTGGTGTGAATAACTCGCCTTCATAAGCAGAATCAGGAACAGCTACAACACCCAGAGAGTATGGACGATTGGATACAGTGAATGAAATGGAAACAACACCTAATGTTGTGTTTTCTGGGACAGTGATGACGAAGTCTAGGATGTAATCTCCGGCATGTGTGATGGCTAAATTGGTGAAACTAGCATATCCATTAACAAATACCACACTGGTTTTACCAAGCAACTGTGCTCTGGTATCACCTATGTTAGGTCTTAGTGATACACTCAGTTGCCATGGTGATGAACTATGACCGAGGTTCTCAACGTTGTCACCCTGAATGAACAGAAAATCAAAAGATAAATACATTTCATACAAACTAGTAAACTGAGCTCTGTCATATTTGACAAGTTTAAAAGTCATTTATTCCATGAAATAATATTCACTTCAAACTTTGTTCTTATCTCAAGATATAAAACATTATACATGTATATAAATACAAAAAAATTCAAAAACTCCATAGTTACCAGAGCATCAAGAGCATTAATGACTGGTTGCTGTTGAAAAATTGCTCCTTCATAGGCTCCTGAGATTTCATGGTAAATATTCAATCGTTTAGGAATTTGATATATCAGAGCAATCTCATCATCAGCTTTTTTAGCCAATTCATCATACCTACAAACAATAGATTAGTTATTGGTATCAGTTTGAATTGTGTGCCTAACGTTATGTAGATAGATTTTCAAAGTGTTTTGCTGCAGAGTGAACAATAAAAAAAATACCTGACATCTCCATCAGCTGGCCCACCAGTTTCATTTGTTGCTCTCACACCACCAGTTGAATCTACTGCGGGTGCTACTGGATCAGTGACTGATAATGTTAATACTTCTACACCCAATGCATTATCCAATCCACCACTCTGACCTTCATTTACAAGGGTGGATGCTATCTCTTCTAATTCCTCAAATGATAAACTATCATTGAGACCAGTATAATTGGAATCTGATAAATAGAAAATATGTTTACATTTGAACCAAATAAAAATCAGCCTCAGCTGTTAGCAGCGCACATCTCAATCAAACAAACAGCCTCTCAGCTGAAATAACTCCACTGTTAGCAATGCACATCTCAATCAAACAAGCAGCCTCTCAGCTGAAATAACTCCACTGTTAGCAATGCACATCTCAATCAAACAAGCAGCCTCTCAGCTGAAATAACTCCACTGTTACCAATGCACATCTCAATCAAACAAGCAGCCTCTCAGCTGAAAAAACTCCACTGTTACCAATGCACATCTCAATCAAACAAGCAGCCTCTCAGCTGAAATAACTCCACTGTTACCAATGCACATCTCAATCAAACAAGCAGCCTCTCAGCTGAAATAACTCCACTGTTACCAATGCACATCTCAACTGAAGTATGTATCATTAAACAAGCCTTGCATGGAACAGTCCCCGTTAGTTATTGAATTTATATATACATGTAGTTTTGTTTATAGTAATATAGCTAGAATATAACCATGTCAGGAATATGATTATGATGATTGTTTAACATTAAAAATGATTGACAGCCATTTTGAATACATGTATAATGAATATATATAAAATTTGAACATTTGAACATAGTCAGTCAAAGCATGTCAGAGATATGGCTCTAGAAGCCCATTCATTAAAAAAAATGGCCACTAGTCAGCCATTCTGAATCCGATCTAAGAAATAACATGCATCAGGAACCCGTGATGTCTAATGTATGTTCTAAGAATGAAATCCATTCAGAAATGCAAGAAATGCTTGATAGCACAAAAATGGCCACCATTCGGTCACTTTGAATAGAATCTGTCAAACCAATATATCTGTATTTTTATAACATGATGTATAATGAATATATAAAATTTGAACATAATCAGTCAAAGCATATCAGAGATATGGCTCTAGAAGCGCATTCATGATTTAAACAAAACAGCCACCAGACAACAATTTCAATCCAATCTGACAAACAAAATGATGTGCATCAGAAATCCATAATCTTTAAAGTATGTACCAAGTTTGAACAAATCCATCCATAAACGTCAAGATCAAGTTCTGGAATGCCAGAAATTCTTTAATTTTTGATGATTTTTTAGCACAAAAATGGCTGCCATTTTGAATCAGATAGTCAAACCAATATATCTATGCTATGATATATAATGAATATATAAAATTTGAACATAATCAGTCAAAGCATGGCAGAGATATGGCACTAGAACTGCATTCATTAAAACAAAATGGCTGCCAGTCGGCCATTTTTAATTTTTAATTTTAATAAAATATGTGCATCAAGGTCCCATAATGTCCAATGTATGTACCAAGTTTAAGCAAAATCCATCCATAAATGCTTGATTTTAATGATTTTTTAACACAAAAATGGCCACCATGCATTCGATCATCTTCAATCAGATCGTGAAACAAATTGATGTGCATATTTATAATATCATGTATGATGTATGTGTGAAGTTTGATTGTGATTAGTCCAGGCATTTCTAAGATACACGTACACACGGACGCACAAAGGTAAAAACATAAGTCCTCGTTTTCGAACTGCATCCGAACAGGGACTACAAATGTAGTTGAGAAAAAGTAAGATGCAACTAAGGTCATTAATATGCAAGGTTTCAACCAGAAACAAATCAGGTCTGCATATTATCCCAGAGCATCAGTGGAACAGACACACACACACACACAGACAAACGCCCATACATACATACACACACACACAGATGCACTAACCGCAATGACTTTCATTGTGTGCTTGACACTAGAGTCAAAAATAAAAAGAAATTCATTACTCACTGAATGAATCAATACTTGATGTTGGGGGATCACCAATTTCCACAGTCACAGTTGCAGGATCTACAGCTCTTCGACGTCTCTTGCTCTGTCTGACAATGTCAACTACCCGGATTTGATCTGTGCTGATACCGAACATGTTAGCGAGGTTTGAAATCAAGTTAGTCTCAAAGAAGTCATCAATATGGACAGGATCAATACCGAATGCAACAATTATTACAGGACTAAGGCGAACTTCTATTACATCAGATCCACGGATCAGAAAATACAGAGTTTGAATCTTTTTGTCATGAAAATTTTGTCCACTCGGACCACCTAGCATGGGGAGATACTGGTCATCAGGAAGAGAAGGATTCTTGGGTAACCAGGTGAAGGAAGAGCCAGACAACTTAGCATTTGTTGGTGCAATATACGCATCATTGCGGTAGACATCTAAACGTTGTGAATTTGCTCCCCACAGATCAATTCGCACAGTTTCATCATCATCAGCATTCAGGAGGTGAAAACGAAGGTTTTGAGGATTAGTGTCAGTGAATGCCATGTCATAAATCTTTCCACTGGAAACAATAGTATAGAAGGTGCTAATGCGTTCCTGACACGTGTACCCAAGACACCATCCTTGATCCATGGGTCCATTAATTAAATCTATGTAACCATCAGCTACAAGACCAATTGGTGATACACGTCGTGTTTCGGTATCTTCATCCATACTCTCAATTACCATCATAATGTAGTCTAAATCATGACATTCATAGGCATGCCAGTCATCATGATATACACACTCATCATTCCGTATAATACCTGAATCAAAGACAAATGTACATCTCTCAATATGATAAGCACTAAAAAGAAATTCTTCCACATATTCACATTCCATATATGCAACAGCTTTTAACATAAGCAAAGGATTTCTATACTTTCAAAAATAGTCAGTTTATGCATGCATAATATTACAGTACTGATTAATTAGTTATTAGTTGACTTTTTATAACGTTATCTGGATGGACCAACCTTTTTTTGGTGCTACATCATCAATGTTCTTACGACTTCCATCTAGATTGGTCAGCAGAGGTAATGGAATACGGTAATCACCAACTCCATGTCTTCTATCACCATCCCATTCATATTCAGACTTTGGTATCACTGTTCCTGGTGTCCCCAACAATCCACCATCAAGATCTTTGATAATGGCTTTCTTCTTTCCATCACAATCCATGTCTACACAATCTGCTGGATTTACAAAACTGAAATCATAGAAAATAATGTTATTATAAGATGGATGTTATTTATAATGCAATACCATGCTTGTGCTTGTGGAGTAAAATCACTTGGAGCTTAAACCCACTTGATCAATCCATGCTTTCTCTATACATGATTTGAAAACATATTGTAGTTATTGCAATTGTGCATAGTGGTAAATTGTAGCCTGCTACACTAAGCACTATGACAGTTTACAACATAAATCTTCTGAAAAGTAATCTATAGATTTATACAGCATGATTTTAGGTATCAGTTTGGAGATGCATGTAAATATCCTCAATTTAAAGTGCCTGTGAAATGCACACCCACACGTTTCCCATTTTAGATCTGTGTCCCGCTGTTATTGATTTTTGTTTTTGAAAATGATTACTTGTATCCAAGTAAATTAGAGATATTTCTAGTGTTGTAGCCACGCCCACCTATCCTGAAACGGTTGACTGTTATCGGATTTCCGACTCTCGCCGAAGTCAAAGTACGCCATCAAATGCCAAAATTTGAGAGGAAGCCATACTCGTGTACCGTACTTTTATAACACTGTGTCATTCAACATACTTTTAAACGATTATACATTTTTAGGATGTTTTTATTTTATTTGTTTAGAGAGAGAGAGAGTTTTTTAAAGAAATAGATTCCGGACCAGCCCATGTTCATTGAGGCGGATTTCAGAAGAGAAGAGACATTAGGTAAGTGTTTCAAATGATTTGACTTTATTGCGATCTTGAATATCGCTTTATAGAGACCATTTAGTTCGTGTTATGTAAGAAGTAGCAATAATTTTGATAGTGACGCGAAAATGAAGCATCGGACAAACGGGAAATTAAACAGCACTTACACGTGGCTAATTGTTTTCATTTTCGCAGACTAAAAGTTTCTGAATTGTTCGGTGATTAGTGTTGAATGTCAAATTCACACCTCTGTTACCTGTACTTGCAGCTTGATCTGCGTAATAATTTATGGAATAAGAATCCGGGCTTGGGATGTCAATGCGTTTCGACCAAGTAAATTTTAATATCATGTCATAATTGACAATCATGCTAACTCGAATCCACTCTGAATTTGTCTGTATTTCAATTATTTTTGATGTCCAATCAACCATCGCCATTCACGCACTTGTCCTCGCCGGGTCCCGACATGTTCACCCATTTCAACAGAATATCAATTCATTTCTACTGTGATCGGTCGATTTTTAAAATTTTATTTCTCTATTTTATTGCTTACTATAGTCAAATATTTAGAATGTCAAAATTTTTTTTACTCAGGCGATCGATGAAATAAAACAGTGCAGTGAAATGCCTAGTAACCTACTAAATAACGAGACAATTCAGGCGTCAAATTCAATTTAAACAAACTCAGCGATGATCGACATAGGCGTAGAGTTCCATGGAAATAGAAGTCGACACTTCAACTGACTACCATATAAGTAATTGTGCAGTCCTGACCAATCCCGTTGTGTACAAACAAGCGAAGATGACAACCACCATGACCAGCTACGCCAGAAAGGACTTATTTTGCATCTATCTCAACCCTATGCGACAAACTTGATATTATGTGTTCTTTATGGTCCATTCTTCCTCGACGAACAAGTACATAAGTGGCAATTCAGTCAAAGATGAGAAAACTATACAAGAAATGTGCCTTATATACATGTATCGACAATGCAAGCTGCCCAGCAAGTTCCCCTTCTGACGTCACAGGGGGAATTTTTTGTATGCAAATGAGAAGCTAATGAGAAGCCTCGTTTTAAAATACACAAAAATAAAGTTGTCCTAGACTGAATTTGAAACGCATTTTTTTACATTAAACAAATATTTTATGCTTGGAAACATAAAAATGAATAATATTGATGTACCAATGAATGATTTCAGGCCAGAAAATAAGACATGCTTTGTCATACTGATTTAAAACTGACTTTTTGTCTCCACATGGTTTGAAATTTTGGAGGGAGGGGTTCTTTACGGATATGAACAGGGATATGTTCCTTCTCCCTGCTCATTTATCATTTTGTTTGAAATTATTAGCACAAAATATGGTAAACCAATAAAATATGTGCATGCACATGTATCTGAGTGTTGTGAACTCTATTGTTGAAATATGTCTGAGAAAATCAAATAAAGCAACTTACCCTAAAGATGGCCAATGTATAAAAACTTTTGATGTGGGTAGGACGTCCACAAACTTTGCCCCTTTCATAAAGATTGGATGCATAGCATCACCATTGAGAGGATTTGTGATAATAGCAACATCTGTTTTTCCACAAGCACTACCGAAGTTGGAGAATGTGACGTCTGAAAGACAAAAGAGTGAAAGAATATTCTGAAGGTGCCAGAGGTTTGAAACGTTATATCTAAATGGTCAGATCAGCATTCTCCATTTTTCAAAATCCATCATTACCAGGATATATGAGCCAAAATTACCTTTGATGAACAAAATGAACAACACATATAGTTAGTAATATGGATGTAAGATGGCCGGCATATATTTATCATAATAACATGCGAGTTCCTGGAATAATATTCGTAATTCAAAAATCTATTTTCCAGCTGATAAGGCGCTGTATGCATTGTGAATAGATGAACACCCTAAAAATTTAAATAATGGCTCAGTATTTAAACATGGAAGAAAAATACCAAAAACAATTGTCAAAACCTGCAGCCATGTGTCCTTTAGCTATTCATGAAGTAGCTTGATTTGGACAGAAAATAGTGGGTAGTACATAAAATGAACATGTACATTTAAAGACAGATATGGTGATGATATTGAAAAGTTTGTGATAAATACAAAAACTGCTGTAAAAAAACTTTATTTTAGCTGAAGTTAATTTTTACTGAAACAATATTCTAGCTGTTTTATATCCCTTCAGCCAAAATATATTATAAGTAAAAATAGTACTTTAAAGTACTTTACACGGAACTAAAAATTTATGTAGACATTCAAGTAGAATTCTATTTTTTCCAATTTATTGTTCATTCTACAATTAGTGGTGCTGTTTAAAGTTCACATCAACACACTCATAACAAATATTTCTCAAAACATGCACCCACAACACAATACGCACCTGTTATCATTGTCTTGCCGCTAATTGCGGGGTATCCTTCAAATCCATGAAATCGGAAAAATGGTGCACCTGAAGTGGTTGAGGTGAACGAAGCCCAGGTGAAACCAGATTTGCCACCGGAGGGAGTTCTTGGTGCACGATGTGTGAAGGATTGTTGTACAGCATCAGATTTTGACTGGAGAGAGAAAAATATTAATCAATGTTGATCAAGCATAATCTTTTGCATGATTATATTGTTAAAGGGTGATCGTCGTGCTGTGTTGATACGGGACTCATAACGATGTACACAACACATTCAAACACATGCTGTGTGACCACCACCACCCTATAAGGAATAACAATCCCCCAGAGACGAGTAAACCACAAAATTTGAGCCTGTTTCACGACATATACACACAAGCTATAGCAAGTGTGTATATGAAGTGAACTGCTCAAAATAGAGTACTGAAAAATGTGTACTAGAAGCAGCGACTTGTATTACAATGGCATATTCTGACAGAGGGAATGAGTCTTCTATATATACGAGAAATGGTGAATTTTTGCTTCTCAAATGTTAAAAAGAATGGGTGCGGCTTCTATTAGGGATGCAGCTTTTAATACAGATTTTACGGTAGTATCAGTCACCTCTGGGGTGGTTATGTCTATTATATTATACCTACTTCATTTTAAAGGTCATTCTGAGATACAGAAATAACTTCAAATCACCATAAATCAAATGTGATACATGTGTGTGACACACTGGTGAAATATAATAACTCTCGTGCCTACTGTTAAACAGGTACATTTTGTAACATCAAAAATGTTACAATAATCGAAGAAACTTTAGAAAAACCTCCAGTGTAATAAGGGTATAGCAGGCATGAAGAGCAAATTAGAAATATCACATTCACTATTAGAAGTACATAAAGTAAATACTTTTTTAATACAAAGTCACAGAAATACTGTAAAAGGGTTAATTATTCACTGGGTTTTAATTTTGCTTATTTCGCTGACTGGAAAATGAGCTAAATTAAAACCCAGTGAATATGTAAAATTTAGCATAGAACACATTATCTAAATGATAAAACCATGAATTTAAAACCCAATGAATATGCCTGAAATGCTAAATCAGTGAAATTTAAACCCAGTGAAAATTAGTTATTTTACAGGATGTCCCATTTGGACCATACACAAATATAATGGGGTAATATTTATAAATAATGTAGACGTAATAATTCTGTTGTACATCATTTTAGTAACAGTACTTGAAATAATACAGTTATGTATGTTAATGTGGTCATATTACCATACATGGTTAACTGATATGTTAATTAGTAATGTATCTCTTGTCTAATGCTTATATTATAGCATTGAGATATTGCAGTTATAATTATGTTGCATGACCATATATCATCATTTGATATGTTGGTCACAACTCTTGTCACAATCCTTCAATATATTGCACTGCTCACATTGTTCAGTCTACAAAAATACTTCAGATTTACAGTTTATATTTTGAAATATTGTTTATTTCAATATATGACATGCACACAGTTATTACATGATAGAATAATCATTAAATGTGTTTATTTTGAGTAAAAAATACATATATGGTTCCTGAAAATGAGGTAAAATTTATGCCAAATACTATAATTATACTAATATTATGATCTGTTATGTTGCTAAAAAACCTAAGGAGCTATGATATATAGTTTTTTTCTCTATATATTGGAATTATACATATTAATTAGATTACATGACTAAATATGGTCAAATAATGTGTTGGCCAGATGCTTTGTTCATTGCCTTCGATATTGAACTGAATATATAGTCCTATCTGCAGCGGTGCTTGAGATATTACAATTATGCATATCAATGAGATCACATGACACCTTATTTATACAAACTAAGATAACATAAAGGGACACGAATTAAACTTAGTCTTTAATCTTTGCCTCAAAGTAATGAGGGTGCTTAAATGACCTTGGCAAAAAAGGTAAAATTAACAGATCAGAGTGAGTTAGCGCATGTTTATAGAATAAAATTTCTTGATTCAAATGCCCTCTATAATGGTATTGGTATGTGCAGATAGATAAAAAAAAAAAGATAGATGTTTTTTTCATGGAGACATTAAAAGTTTTAATTTGATTATGTATGAATAAGAAGAGAATTGTTGTTTCTTCATATGACTGGAAATCAAAGGTCCACAGTTACATACCTGAGCAGTACTGCAATCAAAGCTTGGACTTGTACCAACAAACAAAGAATTATCAATACTGACAAATTTATCAGAAGTCTGGTGACTGAGTGCAGGTGGTCCATACACCATTGGCATCACACTTGCGTAGTTATCAACAAGCACTAAATTAGACATCATAACACTGCACTGAGGATGAAACCAGACTCCAAAGTCATAGCTTCGATAGACAAGGAAGTTGGAGATCTTGGAACATCCTGTCAGGCCATCACTGTAGTACATATGGATACCATGTAGAGTTGTATGCGCTACATTGCCTTCCCATTTGTTTTCAGGATCTGGTTCAGAGTAGCATGGCTCACCAGAGATTTTGAATCCAACTCGCTCTGAGCCACCAACAGCGTTGTTTTTCATGACTACCCTCATTGCCTTGTTTACTTCAATACCACCCATCCATATAAGATTCACAGGCTCAAATCTATCTTGATATGTACCAGGAAATATTGTTAAAGTTACCAAATTATGTTCTAAGCGATTGTCACTGCCAGCAACGATGATACCTACAATAACAGGAAGTTACAGTCATATATGAGGTATGTATGAGTGCCTCAAAACAGCAAAAATTATGATTCATATTCATTATTTTATTTTTACCTAACATGAGAATTTCATATAACATGACAGTGGCGCATCACGCTTTGTCTATTGCATGTTGTCACCAGACATTCTCTGACAGACACCAATATTATGACGTGACAGGATGTTTACAGGACCCCAGAAGCAGTTATTTTATTCATTCTTTTTTGTAAATCATATGACAAGTTACTTTTGATTTGTTATGGATGTTTGTTTGTTGAATTCAGATTACCATTAATTCCCAAATGTTCTGAAGTGTGGTGTTACAGTAATCAGTAACAAGTACCGATTAGGCCCTATCCAACGCTATGGCCTCTCCAAAGAGGGGGGTACTCGAATATTAGAGCATGCTCGAAAATGAATTTTTAGAAGAGCCACTAAATGTGATGAAGATTTGCAAAAAATATTCCATTTTAGTACAAAAACATTAAATACATACTCTATTTGCGTACTTCGCCAGCGGGTTAGCCAGGGAATTCACACAAAAAAATAAGACAAGAAGATTGAGGGACTTTGCAACATCCCAGACACTTTCCTGAGATTAACCTGGATGCAGTATGCAGTATGTGTTGCCATGAGGAACGGCACAGTTGGGATGAATATGAACAAGAAATTATAGGTGTAAATGTCTGATTCAAACTATATTTCATTTTGCACAATATTTTTTTATTAAAACCATGCTTCTTGGTAGCAGAATTGTTCAACAGTGGTAGCAAAGGGATTTTGCTACCTGTTTAGCTAGTAGCAAATACAACCGTGTCACATCCTATTAGCTATTAGCTTGTTGATGTGATAAAGAAGAAAAAACTGGTCTAAACTGAAGCAAAACAAAACAGCGTATCTACCTGCACCAACAGTATGGTGTATGACATTGTTTTCTATATTCAGTCCATTCGTTGTATACACACCAATACCAGTATTGAAACCATGATGGAAACTATTGCCTCGGATGTAGGATGAATTCTGGATTATATCACCAACATCTCGGAATGCCAAGGCATACCTTGGATCAGAGTAATCAGGCCAACCTTCTTGACCACAATTCTTAAATTCCACATTTTCAATTCTACCATTCCCTACAAAGATGATAATGATAAGACACTATCAGCACTATTAAATCAGATATTTAAAAAGGTACAGTCAGTCTGAGAATGTGAGTGATTTCGTTCAAATCAGAAAAATATTGTTTCATCTAGAAGCTACTAGACCACGTTGTGTTTCATTTGATAATAGTAATAATAATAATCTATTACACCATAATGAAACAATTCAATTTAGGCAGGATAGTAATAAAATATTAGGGTTGTAAGGTAGCAAGACTATTATTGGTGCTGAAAATTTGCGATTTTCACATTTATTTATTAATTGATGAAATGAACTATACACTTTCAAATGATAGAGTAAACATAACATAGAATATCATGCAAGTTTGTTAAAATGTAGATATTCTCTCAGACACTAATAAACAGACTGGCAACGCTATTGTTCAGAGGTATCAATAGGTCTAATCCCCGGTGAAGGTGTGTCTTGGCTACGCTGGTGGTCCACGCTTTGCCGAATTTTGACGAATGCCGAGTACACACATCGAAATCCTTGGTCTTGTGTGCATTTTAGTCATTCTCTGTATTCAGTTCAGATCAGATCACCGAGAGAGTTTTACTTCGAGTTGCCGAATAATATATTTTTCAGCCAAAATTGACAATATTTTAAGAAAGTAGGGCTATTTGAATGTATAGACTATCTTCATAGTAATTTTCTTGAATGTATAATTATGAAAAAAGAACGATTTTTACTGGAACACAGCACTTGATTTTTCTAGGATAGTTCGTGTCGCCATGTTTACAATAAAGCTGGTCTTATGTTATTAAATTTTGCCAATCATGTATTAATATAATATAATATTCATCCTATTCCGAGCAAGATTAGAAGAAAGCGTTGCAGACCAAAGTAGTACAAGGTTAAGGTGCATGCACCCAGACGCTGCTGGAAAGTTGAAGGATAGCGACCATGGTTAGTATTACAACCAGCCTGACGAATGGATTATAGTAACAGGCAGTGACGACTGTCATATCAACAATATGTTTGTGTCGGAAAAAAAAAAACGGCATCTTGTCCGACAACGTGACAGTGAAGTGCCAGATATTATTCGTTCTAACCATGGAGGTGCCTCCATGTTCTAACGAACAAAATTAACAGTATTCATAATTAATTTTTCCCGCTGCTAACTACTGAAAGGTCTGACATACTAGGAGTACCGAGAAGTATGAATCTTGAAGTATGTTCTCTGAATTCCTTACTCACGCTGAACGATCGATATTTTTCAAAACTAATCAAAGCTCTGGGAGCATCAGTGGTACACCTGATTGCACTATGACTGCTCAAGCCTTGAGTTTACGTTGCCAAATGTTTTGTGGCCTTAAAATTAATTGCTGCCCGTCTGTCTTTGGGGGTCTTGCACTCTTTCGCTATCTCATGTAATCCATAATGTTACGATGTGTTATCAGTAGCTATCTGACACGCAATGAGTGCTTACAAACACTTGAGTGGTTAGTCTCCGCCCCTGTTTGTTTCACAGATTAGTCAATTGCATATCCATGTGTCAGCCATTTTACCAAAATATAACTATCCCATTCCTTTATTTTTTTGGTTTCCAATAGCCTTATACATTTGGATGATCCTACACATGTTAAAACAGATCTTGATGTGAAAACAAATTGGTTATGCCAATAAACAAGCTTGAAAATCATTGTTGTGACTTCATCAATGTTTTCTAGAAGTTTATGTTTTCCAAAATACAAGGTATAAAATAAAGTATGTCATAGGATTAACATAAAATTTTCAGGTGACAATGGGAGGAACTTGAATGTGTCCAGACAAACGATTTTGTGGATTCTTTTCCAATGTGTTGTGGTTTGAGTTGGGACAATGCGACTAAAACTGAAATTAAAATTCAGCACACTACTTTTTAAAACGAGACGCATTCAATTTAGCAGACTAATGAACAACTAGGAAAAGTGAAAAAACAGCTTTTTATCACCAGCATAAATGTGTAATTATTTTTTTTACATAAAAAGTATTTTTTTTTTTACATTTGAGTACCATCGTAAATGGCCTACCAGCCGACAAAGATCAACAAAACACTAAACAAATCAATATGCATATGTATTCCATTCTGACTTGTTTTTGGACTAATGTCCAGGGATAGACAGTGAACAGACACATGCATGGACAGAACCCAAAGTCTTCATTTTGGAAGACTTTGAGAATAAAACAGATTGATGGTTACTCAACTTACCCACATAATTTATGCCTTCTTCCATAAACCTCCCAACGATTACCCGACAACCAAACGACTCATCAAATAGAGTACCAGCTGGGTTATCTGCACCTTCAATCACAATATTATGTGTTAATAATCCTACTTCAGCTGCTAGTGTGTAGGACCAGGATCCATCGGCAAGAGTATGACTTACACCTATTAGAGAAACAAATAGAGTGAAGTGTTATCAATGTAATCTGTGTGCACTAACTGAGATGTGTGTACTGCAAACTGTTATCTAGTTATAGTGTAGAGTTATCAATGAAATCTGTGTACAATCACTGAGATGTGTGTACTGCAAACTGTTATCTAGTTGTAGTGTAGAGTTATCAATGAAATCTGTGTGCACTAACTGAGATGTGTGTACTGCAAACTGTTATCTAGTTATAGTGTAGAG